TATTTCTTATGGGACTCTGCTGCCTTCTGTAATTACGTTAATTGCTGATCATGATAATTTTAAAAAGAATCTTAAAAAATCTATAATAGATAATGAAATAAAATTGAATTGATGAATTGATAAATTTACAATGGAAATTAAGATTGTTTAACGTTGGAATTGGTGATTTTTTGTGTTTTTAGTTCTTGTGTGTTTTAAAGTACAGTATTTGGTCATTTTGTAATGCTTGTAAAATGTTGTTATTGAGATGGTTGGTTTGAATTTTATATTGTCAATTTGTTTTTATCTTAGGTATTTTATTATGTCTTTTTGTACGTTTGTAAAAGCTTGATTTAATTGGAACGCTTTAAGTGTGGACCCCAGGAAGAATAGTCTCTACTATGGTAGAAACTAATGGGGATCCTTAAATAAACAAATAAACAAATAAACTACACCACTGGTTCAAGCTGACCACGCCTATGTTTAGGCAGTTTGTCCCATTCTTCTTTGCAGTAATTCTGCAGCTCCATCAGGTTGGATGGGAGACGTCTGTGCAGTCATTTTCAGATTTCTCCAAAGATGTTCAGTCAGAGTCTAGTCTGGTCTCTGGCTTGGCCCCTCCAGGACCTTCACAGAGTGGTCCTGAAACCACTGCTTTGAGATCTTGCCCATGTGCTTTGGGTCGTTCTGCTGAAAAATGAACCGTCTCCCCAGTCTGAGGTCAAGAACTCTCTGGAGCAGGTTTTCATTCAGGATGTTTGTACATTGCTGCATTCATCTTCCCTCTATCCTGACTATCCTACCAGTTCCTGCTGCTGACAAACATCTCCATAGCATGATGCTGCCACCACCATGCTTCACAAATGGCATTGTCCTGGTGATGAGTGGTGCATGGTTTCCTCCAAACATGACACTGGGCATTCACACCAAATACTTCAATCTTTGTCTCAGCAGACCAGAGAATTTTGTTTCTCCTGGTCTGAGAGTCCTTCGGGAACCTTTTGTCAAACTCCAGATGTGCTGCCGTGTGTCTTTTATTAAGGAGTGGCTTTCCTCTGGCCTCTCTACCATACATGCTTGACTGGTGGATTGCTGCAGAGATGGTTGTCCTTTTGGAAGGTTCTCCTCTCTCCACAGAGAAATGCTAGAGCTCTGACAGACCATTCGGTTCATGGTCACCTCCCTGACTAAAGCGCTTCTCCCTCGATTGCTCAGTTTAGATGACCAGCCAGCTCTTGGAAGAGTCCTGGTGGTTCCAAACTTCTTCCATTTACAAATGATGGAGGCCACTGTGCTCACTGGGACCTTCAAAGCAGCAGAAAGTTGTTTGTATCCTTCCCCAGATTTGTGCCTGAAGACAATCCTATCTCTGAGGTCTACAGACAATTTCTTTAACGTCATGTTTGGTGCTTGTGCTCTGACGTGCACAGTCAACTGTGGGACCTTCTATAGACAGGTGTGTGCTTTTCCAAATCAAGTCCAATCAACTGAATTGACCACACGTGGACTCTATTTAAGTTGTAGAAACATCTCAAGGAGGATCAATGGAACCAGTATCTGAGCTCAGTTTTGAGCTTCATGGCAAAGGCTGTGAATATTTAAGTAAATGTGATTTTTTAGTTTTCTATTTTTAATAAATTTGCAATAATCTCTAAAATTCCAATAAAGTTCAGTCAGGTCATCTGGACGGTTTCTTTTTGGCTGAGCATGAAATTTGATGAAATCTCTAAAAATCTTTTTTCACATTGTCATAATGGGGTATTGTGTGTAGAATTCTGAGAAGATTAATTTAATACAATTTGGACTAAGGCTGTAACATAACAAAATGTGGAAAAAGTGAAGCATTGTGAATACTTACCGGATGCACTGTACATTCTCCATTAATTTCCATTAAAAAGCTGCTCTGGGGATTTATTAATATATTAAGGTGATTTTTTTTATCAAAATGCAAAAAGGCATTTATGTTTTTGCCTGGGTCTGCATGTTTATGTGTTCGTTTGTCAGTACTGTTAGCAAAAAAACTCACAAACCACTGGACAATTTTAATGCAACTCTCAGTCAATATTCACTGGATGAATATCAACAGCTCATTAGGTTTTGGAGTCAACTTGGGTCAAGATGGCCACCACAGCTAAGCCACCTTATTAAATATGAATATGGCCATAACTTAGCCAATTTTCTTCACACAACGTTAATAAATTAGTCAAATTTACATATATTGAGCCACATTTGGTGTAGTAGTACCAAATAATCATCCCCAACATGTATTCTGAGGGTTAACACTGTGCAAATCTCACAATGTTGCATGAGGTTGCACGTTGTGCAAGGCTTGACAACAACTCTGTTCCTTTTCATTATGAGATGCTTTCTGACAGGCCTTTAATGTTGAATATGTTTCACTCAAAAATTGCCCAATAAAAAAAAAACTATTTAATTTATTGAAATAATATGAAATGTATTAAAACTAAACATAGTTTTGTAGTGCATCTTTTGACTTGGTGACAATGCTGGAAAACAACAACATAAAACGTTGTGTTCCTTGTAAACCACACATCCTAAGAGACCGAGAAGCCAATCACAGGTGAGAAATCCCTGCTGGCACTGACAGAGTCTTGGAGCGTCAGGTGTTTGGATGGGAAATAAAGTGATTAGTCCAAGTCTCAGAGGGAGGGAGGGGGGATACAGGGGTCAAAGTACTAACGATTGAACGTGGTGATGCTGGCACGAAGCAAAATATAAAAGAATATCACCTTCAAAGCTATCTCCCATAAAGGCCACAAAAGCATCTGTGTTTGCTAGAGGAATGTTGTAAGTCGAATTTACCTGTTCCTTGCAGGGCTGAGAACATCACTGTTCTCATTAGAAACTGCCTCTGTGCTGTCTCATAGCAACCTAAAAATAGAAATGTCCATATTAGGCTCTATAGCAGTGATGGCTGCTACAAGTTTTGCCCTGTTTAATTGTACGGTGTAAATTGTTGCTAAAATATTTTGATGCCATCGCTCAGAATTTGGAGCAGAGAAACGTGCCAGTGATAGGCAGCGATGATCAAAGGGGTGTTGAGTTTTTAAAGAGATAGATCAGTGTTTTATAAAGTGCAGATATACAGAGAAAGCTTTCTGAATTGTCTCTGTTTGGAGAAACAGTTAATTTTTCTGATAATGGTGTGAAATAATCCGAGCGGTGTCTAAACTAAGGTGGATTGTTGCCATCTTCAAACACATTCAGTCCTATAAATTGAACAGCTGTTGTATGAACCTTTATACTGAGGTAAATTTTACAATGCATGCTTATTCAGACGGTGATATTGTGATTGTGCAGGATGTGCAACAACTGGTTGCACTTGCAAACAACAGAAATCAAAGTAAATAATTATGTAATGCAAAACTGACAGCAATGCAAAAGTTTATAACATTATGTTAGCATATTGCTATAACTAACCACAACCATTATCCATTTGGGATTTGTTCCCATTTAGACTACCCATGAAGGTAAATTGTCAAACAGTATGTGTGAAAAAGTCTTCAGGATGTTTTGCAGGGTTCTCAGTTTGAGTCACAAAGACTTCCTGCCATCAAAAAATGTGTGCAGAATCATCAGAGTCAGAGAGTTTTATTGTCATACACACCCCATGTGGTACATGTGGTGGAACGAGATTATGTACGCAGAGTCCCAGTTACATCCCACAATAAAATGTAAAAGAAAAACAGTAATAAGACCTAAGATATGAACTAAGAAAAACATCAACTAAATATACACTAAGCACTAATAGCATAAAATCAATAAAAACAACACACTGAACAGCAGCACGAACATGAATCTGTGTGAACAGATGTGCACGCATGAACACAGCAACATGAAACAGATCAGCAGCAACATGATGTGATTTTCACAGTGATTATCCTGATTAGAGATTCATGAGTCTAACAGCCTCAGGGTAGAAGCTGTTCCTCAGTCTAGTGGTTCTACACTTAATGCTCCTTAACCTCCTGCCTGAGGGGGGCGGGGCAAAAAGTGTGTGTGCTGGGTGAGTGGGGTCCTTCATGATGCAGGTGGCCCTCTTCCTGCATCTGGAGGTGTAAATGTCTGTGAAGGTGGGGAGGCCATTTGATCCGATTACTTATGTCCATGTAAACATACTGAGAATTCAATGAGACTGCAACTAAATGTTTGCCCACATTGTCACGATATTGAGACAAATAAGAAACTCCTAACTGTTGCAGCCCATAGTTCTTTTATCCTGCATGTCAAGTAAGTCCAAATTAAATGTTTTCCCCAAATATATGTTCAAACGGGTAAGATATTAACTGCTCATAACCTTGCCACAGAACTTCCCTCCAAAGTATCCGAACCATCACTTTAACTGATATTTTCACTCCCACTCTAAATGTTTAATTTAATCAAAAATAGTTCAAAAAATGTATTTACTTTGTCTGTTGTTTTCTTTATTACATGACAGGTATTCTTTCAATTAAACACTATTTTTCACAGCAGGAGCTCTAATCTGAGACAAGAATTCACGTTTTTGCATCAAAGCATATCAAGCAAAACGTCACAGTGCTTGTTTCACATTTACAAGAAATTATTCAAATAACACACAGACACACTCCTATGTCTGTAGGAGATGGCGCTCGTTTTGTTTGCATCTTGCACACGTTAGGATCAGGACAGAGGCTGTTTTGTTGTTGTTTTCTATCTCCATCAGACGCAGTTTATTTTGGTCCAGTCTGACGTCAAGAGACAACACGTTTCATTCAACAAGCAAGAAACTAAGTTATTTATAACCCGCCGCATCTTCAGGTTGTGATCCTTGAGTGCGCAGTGAAAGGAATACTCCCCATTGGACTGATGTAGCGCGCCTCCGTGACAAAAAGCCACACAGCTCGCGCGCTGCGGGGACACAGACGCACCGCGCGCTGTCACCTAAACTGGGACGCGTCCACGGGAGCAGCCGCGGCTTGAAAAACAGGGATACTGCAACAAACTTGAATCGTTCATTTTTGTGTCTGTATATTTCTGTTGGTCATCTCGCTCGGATGACACAGCTGAACATGGAGAAGGTAAGAAAATAAACAGGTGAAGTTTTTTTATTTCTTCTGAAAAATGATGACGGCCAAAGAACTTTATGTCCTTGTCTTTGCTTCCTATATTTTCTTTACATCGTAATAAAAGAAGAATGGCGGATGTTTAATGTTAGCACGTTCATATTTACATTGTGCATTTATAAGAATAAAGATGTACAGGATCGGGCGGAGCGAAGCGCGCTCGTCTCTCCAAGTTCATCCAAAATGAGCAGCGGCTGCATCCTTTAACGCCACCGGATGTTTGTTTTAAATTTAGACACCAAACGTGACGTTCAGCGTCTCAGACTCACATTTGATCCAAAATTAGGGGAGAAATCAACAAGGCTGGTGTTTTTACGCACGTTTGAGCCTAATTTGGAACAGAAAGGCATGCTTCTTTTTGTGTGTGTGTGTGTCCAAATATTATCACCGGATTATTCTCCAGGTCTGACTTTAACATGTTGTGTTCACATGATGTGCTGCACCTACAGCACTGCGAACGTCAGGCTATTAGAAAACGTATAATATATATATTTTCCCAGTGATAAGCATTATTAAGTTATAATATTTAATTTGTAGCAGGCTGCCATCTGCTGGTTGTTGACATTTTTCAAAACACTAAAACTTAAGTGTGAGTCTTAATTACAGGATTGTGCTGTGTGTGCTGAACTAATTCCACAATTTGTTCAAAGGGCTGCGAGCTATGAGTTCAATCCTGAGAAGATCTGAGACCGTTGGGGAAATGGCAGATATTCTGGAGCTGCGCACAGATGGAAACTCGCTTCTGAAGGCGGTGTGGCTCAAACGCCTGAGACTCACAAGGCTCCTGCTGGAAGGAGGTGCATACATCAATGAGAGCAACGAGCGCGGAGAGACGCCGCTCATGGTGGCCTGCATGTCCACGCACACTGACCAGCAAAGCGTGAGCAAGGCGAAGCTCGTCAAATATCTACTGGACAACCAGGCCGACCCCAATATACAGGACAAAGCAGGCAGGACGGCTCTGATGCATGCTTGCATCCACAAGGCTGGACATGAAGTGGTGGATCACCTGCTGAGCAACAGTGCTGATCCCAGTCTGGAGGACCGGAGTGGAGCCTCAGCTCTGGTTTATGCCATTAATGCAGACGATAAGGAGACACTAAAATTACTTTTGGATGCGTGCAAAGCTAAAGGAAAAGAAGTCATCATAATCACAACAGACAAGTCGCCGTGTGGCACCAAAACTACCAAGCAGTATCTAAATGTTCCTCCATCTCCAGAGATGGTGGAGAGGCCTTCCTCTGAGTACTGCACCTCTCCTTCTGATGTCGATGTTAGTGAGTCTCCAGCATCTGAGCAAGAGAAACAAAACACAGTCTTCAGTTTCCAGACCAAGCTAAAATCCTCGAGCGCAGCTGCAAAGCTCACCAACGGGCCCACATCTCCAACTCGGCGGCCGGCGAACGCCAAGCGCGCTCGTTTGCCTCAGTTGAAGCGGCTGCAGTCAGAGCCCTGGGGGCTGATCGCTCCCTCCGTCCTCGCGGCTGCAGCTGCGGCTGCCGCCCATGAGGAGAGTAAGAAAGTCAGCTCGGATGAGGACGTTGTTGCAGGTGTGAACGGTCTCTCTCTGAGTAAGAGGTCAGCCTTGTCCCGACAGAACAGCGTGGATGGGAAGGACAGCCTGTTCCCACTGGTGGGGGAGCAACCCTGCAAAATGACAAGCTCACTATCAGTTCCTCCAACGTCTAAACAGTCGTACGAGAGATCCCTTGGCCAGCACCAGCCGCTGGCTCGCCGCAGCACAGTTCCCATGGAGCAGGAGAGCGGCGGCTGCAGCAGTGGACCAGTCAGTCTGAGAGACACGGTGCAGAGGAGACGTCTGGGGAATGATCACTACGACTCAGACTCACAGCTCTATTCAGACTCTGCCATGCTAGACTCTCCTAAAGTTCCAGTAGAGCGAAGGAAACTGAACACTTCCCCTCTTGCATTGCTTACCAGTTCCAGAGAGTCTCTTGACAGTAACACGTCATCTCCTTGCACGGCGCGAAGGCGTGGGCCTGGCCTCCTGGAGAGGAGAGGCTCGGGTACGCTACTGTTGGACTACATCTCCCACACCAGACCCGGCATCCTGCCCCCTCTTAACATCAACCCTAACCCTCCCATTCCAGATATTGGGACTAGCAACAAACCCTCCTCACCTCTGACCGCAGGTATTAAATCCATAGCTCCAGTAGCACCAAACACACCAAAGAGAGGAGGCCTCAAGCCCAAGAAGAAACTTGTGAGAAGGCATTCTATGCAAGTGGAGCAGATGAAACAGCTTTCTGACTTCGAGGAACCTGCTCATTAGTTAGTTCTAACATTCATTCAGCAAATACTGTGGCAGTAGAAATGTATACAACATTACTAGTCAGGAAGTACATCCATAGGTTCAGTTGTGTGGACAAACAACTGTCTAGATGTTGAATAATGTGTAATTTATTACAAAAAAAAAAAACATATTAAAACTGAGCAATATAGATAGATTTCTTCCCTGTGTTACACGTGACCTTAAAGGAATAGCGACAATTTTTGAAGAGGTGTTCTGTTTTATGAATTAATATCTTACCTGTTGTAGATAGCTCTCTGAACAACCTGGAGTTTGGACAAACAAAGTTTAATTACGACCAGATCGGCATGCTAAATGCTAGTTCGAGTGGGGCCAAGACAAATATACGCTACTATCATCTTTTTTTTTTTTTTTAAGAGTTTTACAAGCAAATAGTATTTTATAAACTTTTACACCACTGCCAAGTTTTTATTACACGGTTATTTCAGCAGAAATATTATGGTTTTCTTTCAGGACGAGCCCAGGACTGCATCAAAAGGCTACAGTGGTTTAGTGATAAGGAGGGCTGGATGTTCAATTCTCAGCCCCTGCAGTGTGCCGAAGTGTCCTTGGGCAGGAAAATAAGCCCCTCACTGCACCCAATATTGCATCTCTGTGTATTAATGAGAAGACAAAACTGCTGTGTATAAAATGTAAAGTATAGAACAGAAAGCACTGAAAGACTGTAATATCATAAAACACTTTGAAGAACCTGGAGAGGTTTCAAAAAGGCACTTTATAAATATAAATTATTTACAATTTATGATATTTACCATTGCAGCCATGTGATTGTACATGAATAACCATGAAATGGAAACAGATGGCAATGTAAAGGTTCATAAAATAGAATTCTGAACTATTATTTCAGAATGCAGTTGTTTTAACAAATCAGCTGTTCATTTTAGTCTTGGCCCTATTTGACTAGCCATTAGCTCATCAGTCCAGTCAGAATTACTCTTATCTTCAAAATGAAGTTATTCAAAAACCTATCTACAACAGGTAAGATGTTACCTGCTCATGCATGAGCCCTCACTTCAAAAGTTCTGTACTTTTCCTTTAAAATGTATTACATTTAGACTTTGCAACATTTGTTGTACATTTGTTACTTTTTGAATGTAAATGCCAAGATGTGGTACTTTTCTTCAAACTGTCACGACCATGTAATACGTAGGGAACATACAGGGTTCATTTATAGCCAGCAGGCCACTTGGGTGCACTTTGTGCATATGTAATTAGCATCATAAATGGACTTTATCTGGGAAAGACAAAGAGGTGATGCACTTGTCTGAGATGTAGCTTTGAGTGGAATAATATTAAGACTGTTTGCAGCAATTTTGTACAAAGTGCCTTCAAGAAACACAAAAAGTTAACAAAGGAGCATATACATGTGTTTTATTAGGGCCATTTTAATTCATGTTGATGTAATCAACATGCGTTTTATTTTAACATTGTTTCTCTAACATAAGACAAAGTAAAAGCTAATGATGATTGACCATGAAACGTACAGTTATTGTCTTTATAACTCTAACCCTAACAATGGGAATGCATAATAAAACATTGTTCAAAAAGAAACTCTTCAAAGCACAGAGGATTCTTGAAGGTTAAGATCATATTATAATAATAAATGATACAAAGAACACCGGTCCTCGCAAATATTGGTGAAACAAGTCAGTAAAATGTTGTTTCATATTAAGGGCAAGGATTGTGTAGCTTCCATGTACCTTACCTGGGATGAAGTTCTTACTTTTATTTTTAAAAATGTGACACAAATAACCTATAATATTTTTGAAAGTAGTTTGTTGTACATTCTAAATAAATGTCTATCACTTTCAAAGCCCCGTGTTTTGCTTGTTAGCTCACTGGTGACACAAGGAGTTTGTCAGGCCGCCTGGTGGCCCCTTTGGTCCTGTGAAAACAACCATCGTCATCATCGTCATCATCAGTGTCACTGCGATTGTGTCAGACCAACCATAGCGGCGCTCAGATCCCACAGCCTCTTAGCAGCTTCATCATCCAGCCCCTGAGGGGCGGCAGTTTTACAGGCACAGTCACTGTAATCAGAGCAGAATTCAGTGCTAAACACACAACTTGATGTGCACGAGTACACATGAATAAGTTAATCATTCAGAAATAAATGAACACAGCGACTAATTTACAAGGTAACAAAGAAAAATTGCCCAAGATAATGATGGTTATTAACGCAGGCACTTGCTTATGAGGTATTACAAATGTATTAACTACATTTATCATCGTAAGCAAGAGAGCATTATCCTCTCACGAAACAAGATTTAATCAACATTTTTTTATTTGTTCACTTCATTACAAAAGTCTTTGGGTTTATTACATTTATAAAAAGCAGAGATTAAAATGTGCTAATGAAGTGTAGTGTCTAGGCATTTTTTGTTAATTTGCAAAGAGCAGTAATAACTCAAGAATCGCTAAAAGTAAAACAGCCATTATTGGTTATGTATTATATTATATTATATATGGACATATACTACGTACTAAAATAATATAATTCTCTTGAAATACAGTATGTCTTGTTCACTAATCTGTATTAACTTAATCAAATAAAATCTAGCTTTAAATTGTTCATTTTATATATATATAT